ATTGAACTCAGGTTGCCAGGCTTATGGTGGCAGGTGCCTTTACCTGCTGACGCCTTTTTTGAGACCTGGGGCTTGCCAATTAGACTGGGCTAGCTGGCTAGCAAGACTCAGGGATGGATGATCTTATCTCTGGCTCTCCAGTGACAAGGTTATAGGTGTGCTTGCCCCTAGGTTTTTACTTGGGGTCTAAGGAGCTGAACTCAGGTCCTCATGCTTGAGAGGTGCCAACTAAACCATCTGCCCAGGCTTGGTCCCTTGCTTATCTTTAAAAAACTTGATCTACAATCAGCTCATTGCTTCTTTAGCTTTAGAAAATGACATCTTAAAAGATAAGGAAGCATGGGTACCTCAGCCTGACTTATAAACATAAGAAAGCAGTCTCTATCTCATGGCAGTTTTCTCATTTGCCCGAAGCAGGCATCCTCTCTGCCACATGGAAACTTCCAGATAAAACTCTGCTGCAGGCAAACGGAGGTGCTTAGGCATCATCGAAAGAGTCATTTCTCCAGGTTAGCCTGGGGGAGGTGCAGGGGTTCTGCAAGGATGATCCGGGGAATCTGTGGCTTCGGGGCTCCTCCTAAGATCCTTCTTTCTAGTTCTTCCAAGAGAATGTGCAGTACCTGCTGCAGCCCAGCCAGCCTTTCCCCTCTGCAGCTCAGATTACTGAAAAATACCTCAAAGCTAAATGAGCAAATGACATGGCTTGGCTTTTTTTTTTTTTTTTTCCAGCAGATTTTAAGAGATTGATTTCATTTGGAAAGCATTTCCCAAACAGGAGTTTCTTAAAGAAACATGTGTTTGAAAAGCATAGGAGTTCTCACTTCTTAATGGGGAGAAAGCACCACTTTGTGTGTGTGTGTATGTGTGTGTGTGTGTGGGGGGGGGGTGATAGCCGGAACCCAGAAGGCCCACTTTAGGTTTTATGGGCAGTAGCTTCATTGTTTCATGGTACTGTTCTGATGCACATGGCATCTTTGCCGAAGAGGAGAGACCTGTGTGATAGTAGCCTTGGATTATGGCTTTGCGACTGGTGACACCGGACAAGTTCTGCGAGCCCCTTGATGTCTTTCTTTGCTCCTATCAGGGGAAGGAGAAGCTGTGAGGACCACAGTGATGCACTCACTAAGGAGTTCATTTAACCTTGCTTTGGAATTTACCGTTTCTATCTTCATAATACACCACGACCCCAGACACATCTTGGTGCCTCTTGGTCTCATCTCGGTTTCTTCAGGACATTGTCAAGGCATTTGTGGCTGGCTATGGTATTTTTGCTAGAGATGTATCTCTTCTTGCCCTGAATTCTCCAGAATAGGGAGTTTGAATAGGGAGTTCGTTGCCCTTTGGTCAGAGGGATGCCTACCAGGAATGTTGGTGACCTGGGAGAAGCTTTGTCCATGGTGATTGTTCATACCCCCTTTCCTATAACCCCTTTTGATGTGATAGTCAAGCACATACTAATGGATTCCATTTAAATGGAAAGACTTGGGTCTCTTGTTTTGGTATATGTTGCTTATCTTCTTTTATTCTGTTCTTGAAGAATCTAACATAACTCATAGACTGTGATATAAGGAGAGTGGATCGAAAGTGCTTATTCTAGCTACTTGAACATATGGAATTTTAAAATACATACATCTTACTTACTCACACATATATGATAGAAATAATGAGGAGTTCCTCTACCCACTTTATCTTGTGTGTGTGTGTGTGTGTGTGTGTGTGTGTGTGTGTCTGTGTGTGTGTCTGTGTGTGTGTGTGTGTCTGTCTGTCTGTCTCATTTTGGCCAGAAGAGGGCAGTGTGGCATATGTGGTCTCCAACAAACAGTGACATTCCAGGAGCCCCAAACTATGACAAGTAATTTTTGGACATTGGTTCAATTTCTTTTTTTTTAAAAATATGTTCAAAATTGCCAGGCAACAAGAATGCCAAAGGCCAATGTTGGGTTAGGTCTTGAAGAATTTGTGATCTGCCAAGGGCACTCAAACCCATCGCCCCATGTATAAATAACCACAGGAGAGTGTGGTATAGCTAGCAACATGAAAGTGGACCCACAGAAGGCTGATGAGGCTGCCAGACAGCTGGACATGGTGACACATGCTCAGAATCCCAGCACACAGGCACTGAGGCAGCAGATCAGGAATGCAAGGCTAGCCTGGGCTACGTTGTACATTTGAAGTCAGCTTACGATACATGTCTTTAAAAAAAAAGAAGTCCAGAGAGAGCTGTGAGAGAATGGCACAGACTCTGAGATGAGGAGGAGAGAAACGTGCTGGAGGAAGAGCCAGGAGCCAGCATACTTTGTGATTAGGCCTGTGGTGCATAAACTGAGTGAGACTGGAGATGTACACGGGGTGGCTCTGACCATGCACTACTGGCTGTAGATGAGCTTTTACTATGTATTAAGCATGAGTCTAAGAACTGTCTGGACAGAACTCATTACGTCTTCCCACCCTGTGGTCAATCTTACGTTACATATGAGGAAACTGTATGTGGCCAGTCAGGCTTCGTGAGAGGGGGACTCTGAGAGGAGATGAGCAGATGAGCAGATGAGAGAATTTTCAGAGAATGCTCCTGGCATTAGAGGCATACCTAGGCACATGAGGGCCAGAGGGGATGGAGGGCCAGGCAAAAGGTGAAACTGACTGTAATTCCAACTTCACTGGGGCTCTAGTCTTGCTCATGGGACACTATGAAGCTAAGATGTCCCTTCAGAGATGTTCCAAGATAGGATGAAGGGCCCTGGATTTCCTAATCCTGGGTCATGCCTAGTCATTAACTACAAATGTCCCAGTCAAGGGGAGGTAAACCAGGGCAGGTTCCAGAAAACTCAGCTGAGAACTGTCCACTTGTAACCCTCCAAGAAGCTGGGCATAGGCCTTCCAGTCCCAAAGCCAGTGTGGCTGGTGCAATGCAGAGTTCACTACACTGAGTTCAAGAAGCTTGCCCGCCTGATGTGAGAGCATTTAGAGGCAGAAAAGGCAAGGTTAGAAACTAGGGCAGTTGGCTGTAAGACTGCATTTAACTGTACTGATGAACTGCAGTGCAGGTGGCTGGCGCTAGATGAACACAGTACCCCCCCTACCCCCAGCATGTAAAGGACACTGGTCCTGAGATCCTTCCTCAGATCCCCAAATCTACGGATGCTCAAATTCCTTATGTATAATGGAAAGTGGCACAGTAGTCTGCATGTGGCCACAGTATTTGCATATGACCACATCTGGAGTGTGTAGAATACCGAACACAACAGGTATAGGTAGTTGCTGTACTCCATTGGTTTCAGAATGACAGCAGATAAACAGTTTGTACGTGCTCCAGCCCAGCAGCACCTACAGAAGTCTCCTTACGAAGCACACAAACGGAGCAAGGGGAACACATCTCACATGACAGCTGTCAGAGACAAAGGGTCTGAGAGACGGTGTCAGGCTACAGCTGGGGAAGCTTATACCCCATCCGTGTGGATCCAGGGGAGTGCTTAGCATGCAGCAAATGCAGATTTTTATTCTGGGAACTTTCTGCATTGGTTTTTTTTTTTTTTCGATTTTTGATACATGGTTGCTTGAATCTGATGGTGGAAACCCACAGACACAGATACGGGAGGCTGTTTCTAAGCAGAGGACAGAGATGTTCAAACCTTTGCTTTGCTAGCACAGCTTATGACAATGGAGAACAGGGGGAGCAGACAGCTCAGGGTGGCAAGAAGACCTCTTGTTTCCTTGTAAGAGTGGAATCCTGCTTAGAGCACAAGACTCAAGAAGTACGCAGAAAGAGAAAGCTCCATCTCCACACTCCTGACCCCTCTGCTCCCAGGCTATAGCCATTGTCCCCCCAGAGAGAGCATACACGTATGTAAGCATAGGTACACATGGAGACCAGATCCTATGGCCCTCATTATCGCAATGTCCACATCATTCTGCACTGTGCTTTCTGTATTAACACCATGGCTTAGACCTTGCCTCAACGATGTTCCTATGGAGCCACATTATTCCCTTAAAGACAGAAGATACAAAGCTTTTCCATCATATAATGACTCACCTTTTTGTTCTCTTTCATAACACTGGGAACCAGACTGAGTATCTTACGCTTGCTAGTCAAGTGTCATTAAGTTGTACTCTGAACCCTACTATACTTTTGAACCAGATCTCTTTTGATAAACATTTAACGATGTTTTCAACCCTTAAAAAAGCTTTTATTTGATTCTACATTTTAAAAAATACATTTTGGAGACAAAGTCTCTTGTATAGGCCCCGTCTTGCCTCAGACTGATAACCCTCCTGTTTCAGCCTCCCAAACGCGGGGATCACAGGCTTGCGTTACTCTGCCCAGCTCTTTTTAAACAGCAAATGACGGGCTATAGCTCAGTGGCCAAGCACACATTTAGCATGTTCTGAGGCAATTGAGTTTAATCCTCAACACCCCCAAAAGGAAGTAAATACAAGCAATGCTAGAATATGTTTGTATACCTATCAGTTTGCACATGTGAGTGCATTGCTGTGACATGAAGTCTCAGAATTGCTAGGCCAAAGGATACACAGTTTTTATTTTGAGAGAGTCCAACTGCTCTTCACCAGGGCCTGCACATTGTCCAGTAGAGTCCTGTTACCCCAAATCCTGACGCAGTCTAATATGTGAAAAGGGGGGCGGGGGTGGGCGGGTGAGGATGCAGCTTGAAGGCAGAACACTTGCCCATATGCCTGAGGCCCTAGGTCTAATCTTTACTATTCCCTACCATCTGCCAGTCTGTAGAAAATAATAACCTGCCGTGGCTTTAAACTGCTTTTATCTTCACTACAGGAAGTTCATTCCTTCCTGCCGCCAGTGACAAATATTTAGAATATATTTTAAATGCAAAATCTTACAAAGAAGAGCCAAGTGAGGCTTCTCTTTGTATCTGAGGTCAGGTGGGACTCGCGGGTGAAGGGAGAAGGTCATGGTGAAGGGCACTACCCGTGTTGTAGCTTCTGAGACTCACCTGCCTCTCCCTCTGCGGTGTTTCTGCCCCCAGCTCATGTGCTCCTCGGTGCAGAAGGCCCTGTTTGAGGAGGAGGACCACGTCAAGAAGCTGCAGCAGAAGGTGGCCACCCTGGAGAAGCGCAACAGGCAGCTCCGTGAGCGGGTGAAGAAGGTCAAGAGGTCTCTGAGGCAGGCGCGGAAGAACAGCCGCCACCTGGAGCTGGTGAACCAAAAACTCAATGAGAAGCTGGTGGGCGCAGGTGTTCAACAACACATCAATGCCCTGGGCCGGGAGCCCGCGCGCGCCCCCTACCTGCACGGGTAGCTGGTGCAGGCGGATGCCGGCCTGCCTTGCCCGTCCCAGCGGAGGAGAGAATAAAAAAGCGGGTTCTGTAACATGCACTTACTTCAAACTTTATAGGAGATACCCGTTAGACATTTGGTAGCGTCTAACAGGGTAAAACGGCAAGTCTTAGTTTATTTCCCATCGGGTGCTGGCCTTACTGGCCACTCGGCTTCAGACCCTACGTGTGGCATGCCCTTTTTCTGTCCTGGTGCCACCCAAATACCTTAAAGCTCAGAGGCAGTGGGATCCCCAGGTTCTGGCCCATCCCGGGTCTGGCCCTCAGCCTCTAGGGAATCTCTTCATTGTGGAGAGATCATTCTAGAAAAGAACATACATGAAGATATGACGGGACTCTGTTTTTAATTTCAGAAGAGAGTCAGCGTGAGTCTCAGCAACCAGAACTGGCACAAGCAGGCGTTCTGGAGAGCCGCTGTTCTAGAGAACATTCTGGAATGTTCTGCTGCGTTTGCCCATGGTTTTAGAAAAGCAGGGCGCCTACATGCGAGTGTGCAGGGCACCCGTAGTCAAATCAGTATTTCCCTCACAGCCGAAGCATGTTAAGGCTTAATGAGTTCATCACAGGTAAGGGAACTGAGCAGGGAGCTGAGCAGCTGGTAATTGGTAAAGATAAATTATATCAGTTTTCCAACCCCAGCTCCCCAGGGCTGACATGATACTCACAGGCTGTTTTAATCTAAAGAGTAATTGTTTTGGTGGACACACCATGTTTCATGATGCTGAGAGTCGCACTAGCATCTCCTGCTTGCTTGGCAAGTCTCTACCGCTGGGCTGCACTCTCAGCCCCGCTGTACTTCTGACCCGGATCTCTTTTGATGGACATTTCAAGATGTTTTCAACCCTTGTTCCCAAATTGGAGTTTAGCTCAGACTCTGTGGAGTCTTAACTCTGTTTGTTCAGCCTGCCACATCTTCAAGTTCAAGGTCAAGGCCCCAACACACTGAGATTGCCTGCTCTGCAAATACATCTCCCTGCCTGGTGGGATTCAGAAAGGGCTTTGTCCAGGTATTCCAACCCAAGCTTCTACACATACCCCAAACCCCTATCCCAGAAACACACACATGCTCTCTGCACAGGTTCCCCACAAAAAAAAATCTGTGCATAGCCTGATAGAAATATTTGCATAACAGTGTACTTTCGTTTAATCAATTCTTTAACAAAAAGTTTTCTTTGGAAAGAAAACTTCAAGGCAGTTCAATAGAGCGCTCTCACTGTCCTTACCACTGCCAAGGTTGGTCACGTCTCAGCTGTAGTTTTCAGAAGTCAGCTGTGTGACTGTGCTTCATCTCCCCTGTTGCCCGCCCTTTAGACCAAATGCCCTTCCATGTTGTCCCTTCGATAGAAAGAATCCTTTGGCTCTACAATGTCAACCTCCCAAAGTCCACTCCAGACACATGAGGCTGATAAAATGGCTGTTACCGTCACACTGCTACCTTTCTGCTTTTAGGAAGTCCAGGCACCTCTCTGAGAAGTACCTTGAAATGTACGAGTATTACGCCCTGGGCTGCACTGGGGATGATGGGAACTTTTATTTGGGGACCAATTTTCCTCCACAGCCCCTTTAGCAGTGCTGTTCATAATTTGCTACATAGATGAGCTTTCTCGTTAATTCTCCCTGGGAACATTTCATTAGAGTGGTTTTGTTACCTCCCAAGAGAATGGCAGGCTTAGAGGTGGCAGAGCCACGACTCAGAGAAATGTGGAGGCCAAGATGCGTTATGTTCTGCTTTTCCAATAAACATGAGCAGTGATTCCAACAGCCGTGAGACAATAAGCGTGTCTTTGGATCAGGGAGGTTTCATGATTTCCAGCTTCAGCCTGGAAAAGTGATTTTGAGCCTTTGGGGAGACATCTGGGAGTGACCCTGGGACACTGAGGATTGTTCAAGCCTGCTTTCCTGCCATTCCCTGATGGATGTGCCCTGAGTCTCCCTCCCTCTGGGTTTCCATCTCTCAGCACACCTGTGCTCCTGCTCTTTGGCTCACAGGGGACAGGAGGTATCATTAATCAGTGTCTTCAAACGTCTACTGAAGTCTTGCTAAAGGAGGCTTCCCAGGTCCCATCATCTTCTGCCTTGTTATCTGGCCACAGCCCTTGCCACCTGTCAATCACATGAGTGACACGTTTAAGGTTCCATAAAGGGCTGACTCCAAGCATCACTCAGGACATGGCACACTTTCTCCAGTCTGTTCTAGAACTTTCTGTGAAATGCAGGCTACGGTCTCATTTCCCTTCAAGGTACCAGAAGACAAAGTGTCTGTTCCAAAACTGCACAGTAAGCAATACACAGGTAGACTCTCAAGTCTTCAAACGACAGTCCCCAGGAAGGTCCCACTGGTGAAGTGTGGACACCGTCGAGTGTAGGAACGAGGCTTCATTAGCCCCACAGTATGTTGAGTGCCAGTGTCTTTGGTGGCTTCCCATTCGGGACACTGTGCTGTACTGTTTACTTCCTTTTAAAACACTTGTTTTAAACACCAGGCTGTATTGCATACACATTATGACCCCCACCTGGTAGAAATTACTGGAATCCATGCATCTGGAGCACAAGAGTTATCTAGTTTTGAAGAGACAGATTACAAAGTCAAATCACAATGACTTTCATTCAAATGAAAGGATCCACAACAATTCATAGTCTATGGGGTTTTTGTTTTATTCATTTATTTATTTTTTTTACCAAAATCAAGCACCCTAACTGCTATGGAGTCACACACCTGTAATCCTACACTTGGGAGGCAGAAGCAGGTGAATCGTCAGTTTGAGGCCAGCCTGGGCTGTGTAGCAAGACCCTGACTCACATTTCTCCCCTAAAAACCCCGAAAGCACCCCAGCATATATTGGGCTCTTTCTCACAGATTATCTCACTTAATGTTCTTAATAATTTTATAAAGTAGGAAGCTCAATTCCTATTCTCCACCAGGAATCTAAGGTTTCAGGAAAGAAAAGGCTCAAGGTGCACAGCTGTGCGGGTAGTTAAACAAGCCCTCAGCGCTCCCTTCACTTCGCTCCGTCCGTACCTGCTCCTCTGTATTAGCAGGACTGGGCTGTTGCTCACATGTGCAGTTCTGACACGCGTTGAATCCCTTCTGATTACTTCTACTTTTTATTATCAACATTTACTGGAAAGGTTCTGTGCGAGTCACAACAAGGAAGTTTATCAGACTAGAAATGAGGGAGGGTGACTACAGTCAACCATAGTACATGACATACCTGTACATATGTGCTACGCATGTATACAAAAGTCACAAGTCAATCATTTTGTACATGAATATGACATAATCAATTTTCTTGGCAAGAGACTATTTGGTAGGACTGCAGATCATTTTCTTATTGATCCCCATATGAATCTTTGGCCTACTTTTTTAAATCTACCATAAGCCTTTTGCTTTAAATAAAATTCTAAGCATCTCCTTGTCTTCCATACAGAGTAGTTGGCTGTTCCTCCACATTATAAAGAAAGTACAACCCATCACTAGTGTGTGCCCTGAATCTCTCACCTTCTTCGCTCATGCTATCTAGGTCTGCCATCCTCCTCTTCTCCCACCATCGAGGATAGAGGCCTGCTTCCAATGCTCCATACAGGGTTTGTAAGATTCCCTTTTCCTGTGGTGACTTCATATGTGTTGGAAACAATCTCAGATTCACATGCTGAAGGTAGGACTTTCAGGAGGTAATTAGGAGTTGATGAGATGGGAGTGCTCTCCCAGGATGGTATTAGCAGCTATACAGGAAGAGAGAGACCTGAGCTGGTACTACTGCATTGCTCAATATATGGTGCCCTCTACCATGTTATGATGGCCACCAGATAATTAGTACCATGTGTGATAAATAGTCCTCTATTAATGAATCACCACCTCAGGTATTTTATTATAGCAACAGAAAACAGACTAAAACATTTGATTCCAACATTCTTGTCCTTAACCATAGATCTTCATTACTGGAAACTCCTGTCTTCATCTTCCAGACATTCTCAGACCTATTCACACCATGACAAAAGCCAAGAAGAAGCATGCTAGCCCCAAGCACAAAAGTGGTCCATGACAGACAGCCCCATACTCCCTAAAATCATTATCTTGGTTCTGCCCTTTAATCCCCAATGAAAAATGTACATCTGTAAGTGCTGACTTCTATTATCTACTTCTCACAACCTTCTCAGCCTGTGAGGACTGGGTTTTAGTCCAGGCTGCTGCTCTCAGGCAGCAGATGGTCAAAGTTCCTTTCTCCCACACTTATGAAACTATCAAAAAGAAACACTTGATACGATTCATTTGACATGATTCACAACTTATTACCAAGACTTTCTTCTTCCTTTACCACACCTTTTCTTCCCATCTCCCTGACCACTGATGAATGACTATACTACCTTTCACCAACCAATTTTTAAACTTACAAATTCTAATGACAACAAAACCACCATTAATAAAACGTCTGCGTGTGTAGTTATGCAATTCTAGGCTAGTGGTTCCCAATAGAACCTTCTGTAATGGAAATAGTGGAAATTACCAGCTCTTAGAATGTGGCTAGTGTCAGGGGCTGGAGAGGTGGCTGAGCAATTAAGAGCACTAGCTGTTCTTTCAGAGGATCTGGATTCAATTCCCAGCACCCACACGACAACTCACAACCATCTGAAACTCCAGTTCCAGGGGATCTGGGACCCTCTTTTGGCTTCCATGGGACTGCATACATATGGTGCACAGATATACATGCAAGACAAACTTTCATACAGATAAAATAAAAATAAATAAATCTTCAAAAAATTCATTAGTATTACTAAATAGCTAAGTTTTTGCTTAAGACTCATTAATTAAAAATTGTTTTATTTTATTTTTTATATAAGATCTGGAATACATTTCCTTTTGAAAGTGTTGGGTACTGGCATCCCTGGGAAGCACAGAAATAGGCATCCTATGATCTTCAGATCAGAGAAGCCTGTGGGAAATCCTCTCTAGGGCACCGAAAACACATAGTGTACTGAACTTCGAGAGACAACGTGAGTATATTAGCTGTAAAAGGAATCAGGGCCAAATAAGTTACCCAAGTAAGTGGTTATGGGATTGAACAGATGAAAAAGATGGTCCACCTGATAAACATCAGACTGATCCCTATAACTGACATCAGTCAATCTAGATCTAGCAATCAAAAGTCTGATTTTAGTTTCCAATTTCAGGGACTCACAGCACTTCAACTGGTTCCAAGACCTACAACAGTTTACTCAGTCCCTTGAATAAACAGAGGTCAGGAACCCTTGTTGAAGCAAGGTCCTTTGATAACACTGTAATATGTCTTAGTTTTCCTAGACTTGTACAAAGGGAGCTGTGAGTACTTACTAGCATCAGTGTGTACAGAGCAAGGGAACCCTAAGGCCACCATGGAGTTATGGGACTGATGCTGAACTATATCTGAGACAGGAGTCAAAGAGATGCTCATGGATAAGTGGTCAGATAGTCTAGTGCCATGGTATAAGTCCATCTCATAGTAGGTCTCATTAGTCTGTGAACCCATTCTGAGTTTACTTTTCCTAGCTCTTGAGTAGGTAGTTAAAACAGACACTCTGTCTACACTGTCAAAATGTCCACATTGATTTCCTGAACTTTGGATCTAAGGCTGTTATGTCAGGAAATTTAAGAGGAAAACCTGGGTTTTCTATTATTTAGGAGTACCAAAATAGATAAATAATAAAAAATAAAAACACCAAGAAGTCAATATCCTATCAGAGAATAGAAACATTAAATTATTAAGAAGCATTTAATATGAATTCTAGAGTTGAAAAGTACAATAACTGAAATAAAATTTTCACAAGAGGAATTTAATGACAGACTCAGAGAAAAATAAAGATAAATCCATTGAGATTACTTGTCCAGGCACAAATTGAGAAATTAAAAATAATGGGGAAAATAAGTAAGGCCTAAGATTTATATGTCCCATCAAGCAGACCAGCATCAAGCAGAACCATCTGTTCTGGTTCCAGAAGGAAAGGAGAAGGAAAAAGGAGAGTAAGTAGATTGATGATTGCCAGGTGCTGGAATGAATGGAGAATGCTCCAGCATTCCTTTTGAAGGATAACAATGTTCTGGAAGCTGGGGGTGCAGCCCTGTGGTAGTTAGCATGCATGGAGTTCCAGGGTCATCATCAATGCCACAAAAGACAGTTTTAGAATCAATAATGATGTTTGCACATCATGAAAGTGAACCTAAACACACACACACACACACACACACCCTGAGGCAGCTGGTCACACAGCATCCACAGCTGGGAAGTGGAGTGATGAGTGCTGGTACTCAGCGCACTTTCTCCTTTTCATTTAATTCAGACCCCTAGCCCACAGGACGCTGCCACCCACAGGAGGGGGTTTTCTTTCCACCTCAATTAACCTAATGTAAAAACTCCCTTACAGACACAACCAGAGGTGTGTTTCCATCTTGCTTCTAAATCTAAATAAACTGACAATCAAGACTAGCCACCCCATCCTCAATATACTTTCTCATCCTAAGCCATATCCCCAGCAATGTCTTTGACTATATCATATATTTTCTATCCCTTCTCTTTAGGCCTCTCTTTGTCCATCACTGAGAAAATCCCATTTGTGTTTCAAACTCTTTCTCAAGTACATGATTCTTAATCTCCATAGCAACCATTATAGTTACTTACATTTTTACAGTTTTGAAATACACAGTGATTGAGAAGTCTTGGGATTGTCTAGCTAAGCCATTTGGAAAGTTTTGCTAAATGTCTTTTTTTTTAATTTAAAAAAAATGTA